GTCGATCTCACAGGGATAGGAGTTTTCTTCGCTTTGTTTTTAACTAATATTTGGTTTACAGGTAACTTAGTTGAATTGATTGATTTTGGTTGTCACGAATATAAAATAAAATTAAACTAAAGTGATCATAGATAGAGGTCTTAGGACTTTGATTTCACCACAACTTTCATACTATGGTTAACTATTTCAACTCTGGGAATTTAACAAATTATATTTCAAATGAATTGAACTCAATAACATTCGTTCAATTCGAGTTTTTAAAGAAAGAAGTTTTATAAATTGCAGTTAACTATAACCTATATACGATTAGCATGGACTATCCATCTATCTACTTTAACTAATTTTGTAAACAATCCATCTTTCCTAAACATAAACTATGAAAACATTCATATATAAAAAAAATTGGAACACCATTACATGATCTCCATTCTTATGTCCGACAGGGCTCCGCCAGATACCGTCCGATAAGAATGGGTTGAGCATAGTTAATGAATCAGTTATATCTAAGATAAGCTAATAACAATTCAATAACTATTAAAACAGTAAAGAACCAATTGAGTTGTCTCAATTGCTCATAATCATGTAATCAAGAAATATAATATATATTAAAAATATTCAAGAGTTAAAACAATCAAACCATAGTAATCAGATGGGCTACATCTGTGCCTTAAGAGAGGAATTAGCTACATTGGATTGACGGAATTATATAGAAGTCTATAGGTATTAACTACTACTTATTCTAGCAGGATTCCCTCAAGCATAGCAGATTCACACTATCCCAAGAGCTTTTAAGTGCTACACTGCATTAAGAGAATCACATAGCAGTCTATAGGCTTTAACGACCACTTCTTATTCTAGCAGGTCCAGGACTCCAATTTTAAGAAGTACAAAGTTTCATTGGTAAGACCCAACTTCGAACTACTAAGATCACAACTAGATAACCCATCTACTGACAAATTAAATCCCACGGTCACTACACGTCTAAAAAGTCTAATAATCATCAAATACCCTGGTTTAACATGGAAAAATATTAATGAATCTGAAGCAACAATAATCTGACTTAAAGAAAACATAAAATATTGTCTCAACATATTGTTAGATAAAAAATGAAAGATAACATCAGTGCACAGTTATGTTGATCTTTTTGCAATATTTACCTCATTTTGCATGTCGATTATCTTCCATTGGCATCACATGCATACTCTTTCGATTACCTTTTTTTTCCTTCCCTTTTTTACCTAAATTTAGTTTGTTTTATTTAGAAGCAAATTTTTGGACCAAATAGGATAACATGGCATGCGACTATCGATATCCTGTCGCATTGATCGATTGATGGCTGGTATTGTTGGTGGAGACCTAACAAAAAGATGTTTTGGTATAACCATGATGTTTTGGTATAACCATGACCCAACTAAATTAGTCGTAAGTAGAGTCATTACTTTTATTTTATTTTTTTGTTTCTGCTTCCCCTTCCTCTTGGAAGGGAGTTGCTTCAAAAATGGGCGAGGGCAGTTGTTGTGAGGTTGGCTCCTCCATAGCATATTATTATTTTGGTTTTCAGAGCTGTCGTTCTCCAACATTCTTATCATCTTGGTTTGTGATGAAGGATTGGAAGGCTTCTATAGGGCCCTTTTTATGTGGCGAAAAATTCAATATGGAAAAGATGGACCCACCCATTGAGGTTTTTTTTGTGTTTTTTTCCTTCACTACTGAGTTACATTTCTTCATTGTGGCCCTTGTGGGTCATAAGATTTTTGCATTGAGCTTGACCGAGACTCAAGTTGGTAACAGGACAAGCCTACTTCTTATATCATTGAACTGAGTTCAACAATTAATCCAGATTTTGCTACTCTTAACAAATTGTGGCATTTTTATGGGGGCCTATGTCTGTCGTGTACTTATTGTTTTACCTAATAATGGCTGGATATAAAAGGGCTAGCTCAGTGCATGAGGCTCCCACCTTTATCTGTCATGTACTTATTGTTTTACCATGGTGTAGGCTTGCGCCGAACCACGTCAATATTTGTGTTCTTTGTATGTGGCGTTTACTTTGGACACATGGTGGAAACTACCAAGCTGGAGTACTGTAGGGGCAGAGGGAATTTCCGGTAGAGCGGTGAAATGTGTAGAGATCGAAAGAACACCAACGGCATAGTTGTGTTGCCTGGACAATATAGCACTTTTTTTCTTTACATATCCAATATCATCTTATTTTTTATTTTTATTTATGTATTCTGTGATTTTTATACAACCTTGGTATCTTGATGCTATTTCAAACAAAACTGTCAGGATTTGTTGGAGCGGAATCTTTTGGTTTATCAAAACAAGGATATATAAGTTTGTAAGAACTTGCTTAAATGGAAAAGAATAAACGGAAGTTGGAATAGGCAACTCAAATTTGGCATCAAATGTCAACTGCTAAGGTTTTGCAATTGATTTTGTTCATGGTAGCCAAAAGTGGCGAAAGCAACTTTGTCATAGATGTTTAGGAAAGTTCCCCCCCAAGATAAACATATTACTTATAGTCTGAGCAATTTGGAAAGAACCAAAGATTCATTTAAACTAAAAGAGCATCTTGAACGAGTTGTACCCACCATTTTGTAGAGTTGAATTTAGTTTAATTAAGTAGCAACTTATGGATACAAAGGCTGTGATATCCTCTCCAGCAATAGGTATACTTGAATCTGCCTGAATAGGAAACATCAATGTTAGTCCACCACGCCCTTCGTTGAAGAAACTGCAGCCCTTGCAGCAATTCAATCCGTCCTTAAATCTTCTAGTAACAATCTGATAACGATATTGAATTGGAAGGAAAAAATGAAAATGCTTCCTTAGGCCTCAGCAAAGTAAAGCTTCCCATTGGTAGCTTGTTGAAATTTTCGACTAAGGTGCTGGATCACACCTTTTGAACACTTTCTAATACATTTTATTTATCAAAAAATAAAATTTATACATGTGAACCAACTTTTTGTGTTGTTATTAATTGATGGTTATTTTATGGCATTATGGCGATAACTTTTTTATTTATTTTGGGTGGAAATAGCCGTGTTTTTATTAAGTGCAACTATTGTTTAGGGCAATATATGTTTTCTTATATATATATCCCCCAACTTTTTTTGCATTAAAGGAGTTGTTTTTCGCTTGCACTTTGCAATTGCACATTTTGTTTTTTAAATTGCATTGTTGACACTATAGATGTCAACATCGAGTCTAACACTTCCGTCTCCGTCTACCAAAACGACTGGAAATATTTTAAGAAAAGGTAGGCATACGACGAATGGAGTGTAACTTTAGTTAATTTAGAAATATAGATAGAGATGTAGTGCAGATCAAGGGTCATGAGTTACAAACAAATTGAGCATTTCTGGTATTTAGGCTCAATAATTCTTAACGAAGGAGAAAAATTGGATGCACAATGGGTAATATTGAGTATGTCTAACATTTTCTGTGTCAACGTGCCCTCTAAGATTTAAAGGGATGATCTGTAAAACAGTTATTAGACCAGCTATTCTTTGCAGGACAGAATGTTGGCGACTAAGTAACAAAATATCCATAACATGATTGTGGCAGAATTGTGAATGCTGAGAAGGATGTGGGTAAAGATAAGAAAGGATAGAATTAGAAATGAACACATTAGTGAGATAGTTGGACTAGCACTAATTGGAGGTAAAATTATAGAAAATTGATTATGATGGTTTGGCCATGTGCAAAGAAGACCATTGAGTGCACCAATTAGGAAGAGTGTCATGGTCCACTTTGAGGGAATAAGGGGAAGAACAAACTTAACGTTGGTTGAGTTGCAAGGGTATGCTAACATGTGGTTGGATAGAGTGGAATGGGAAAATAAGATTCTTGTAGGCAAGTAGTTGGGAAAGAGGCTTAGTCGACTTGAGTTGTAAATTTAGGAAATAGATTGTTCCTCGCTGCTCAGAATTATATATTGTACTAAAAAGTGTTTGTGTGTGTGTGTTTAATAGGATTGAACATATACACATACACACAATTTATAATATATCACAATTGGGCTATATTATTTTTGGTGTCTCCATCCAGCGTATAGTGAACATATATCTTGATCTCATTGTTCTTGGAGCCTTTTGTTGATTCTTTCTCATGGATGTTCTTTGGAGCAACCTTTTTATGTTAAGTAATGAATGTTTTAACCGTTTTGGGGTATGGGGTCCTTTCTCCTTCTCTCGTCGTACACTAGAGGAACTCGTGTTGTCTTGAAGGATGAACAAAAACTAAAAGTGGAAACTAAGTCTTCGTGTTACATTCTCTGCAGGTTCTATACTCTCATGGTCTTGTCTACTGCATTATATGGGAACCAGCATTTACGAATTGCATTTGCAATGGGCTTATCCTTGCCGAGGATGGTAAAAAGATGAGTAAAAGATTGAAGAACTATCCTCGATGTATGGAAGTCATTAATGAATACAGGGCTGTAAGTCTTATTGTTCGTGTCATTTAATTATTTTTATTGTTCTGTGTTCTATTCTGTAATATATTATTGCTGCTGCTTTTGTTGGTGTTTGAGTATTCTTGTTCAAATCTCTCTTCTTTTTGGTTGTTTTCTTGCATTTCATGATCTTGCTTGTCTTTTTCGTTTATTTGTATTTTAAACTACTGACAAATTTTACTTGTCTGTTATACTGTTATACAGGATGCACTACGACTGTACCTTATTAATTCACCAGTTGTTCGTGCAGAGCCTTTTTGTTTCAAATTTATGGTTTTGTAAGTGATTTTCCAAAGTTTTATTTTCTTCTTTCATATTCAGATTTTTGTTTGATTTGATCTATTCTTCTGGTTTGCTGATTTTTAGTATTCCTCCTCCTTTTTTATATTTTCCTTTTTATCTTGGTTGATCTCCAATTGCTTGTATTAATACCAGATAATGATGTCAATGCAGGTCAAGGATGTTTTTCTGCCGTGGTACAATGCATGTACAGGTTCCTTGTTCAGCATGCAAAAATACTTGAGATTGAGGGATTTAGACCATTTATTCCTATTGAACAGTACACTATTCAAAAGTCATCTAATGTTCTTGATCAGTGGATCAACTCGGCCACTCAGAGTCTAGTTCGTTTTGTCTGCAAAGAAATGGATGCATATCGAATGTATACGGTTAGATTTCTGCTAGACATTATTGCATATTTATTACTTTTTAAAGAAATACATTGTAGTTAGAAGATGTGAAGCCTTTAGATGATTGAAATACTCTAGTATTATATAGCAAGAAAAACAGGCTTGAAATCTCCTTGCCTGTCAAATGATTAATATAGCTTTTATAGGATTCTCATTAAGTATATGGCTCATGTGGTGAAGAGATGGTATATGTATGAGCCTCATGTCCTTTGTTGTAGCAGCATAATTTATTGATGATGCAATTTACGGGTGTTAGATTGCCTGGCCTAAAGAGTCACCCGGTAGCTCATTTAGGTATGAGCTATCAGGTGCGGTCTATAAGTTTTCTGTAAATTTGCACAGGAAAGGAGAGAAGAAAAAACTTCATATATTGCATTACAGAATAATAAAGTTACAAAAGATGAGATTTAATATAAAGCCTAACTAGAAGATGAAAGGACAGTTAGCTCTAATAAATACAGATAAGTATATAAAAATACGACTCCCTAACACTGCATAAGTTTCTTGATGTGTTGCAGTAGCACTACTGTTTGCATTATTTATTTGCTTTTTATGATAACATTCGTCATCGCATTGAACTAAAAAGCACAGTGGTGACTTGGAAGCATTACATGAACATAGAGACATGGATATGTGAACGTGACAGGATCTAAAACTGTAATCAAGTAGACAGCATGGACAAAGTGGTATAAGGATGTTTTCATAGATAGACATATATATTGTATATGATCGTGATAAATCTTTTATTTATTTTTTATGTTTGTATGTCAATAATTGCATAATTCAGAAATACAGTACTTGGCAATTATTGTAGACACAATTATATTATTGTACACTCTGCCTTACAATTTTAAAAATTGCAATTGTGGCAGCCATGCGTCTTCATTTTAATTTTTCCTTTTTTATTTTGGTTTTTTATTTTATTATTAGTATTATTATTATTATTTTGTATTTTGGTTAAAAGAAATGTTTGTAAATAATGGATGTGTCCATGGCATTTCAAAGGTGGACAAGACTTTTGTGAAGTCGTGTTTTTGCTACATTGATAGCTTGTTGAGGATTGTCAAATTATTGAATGGCTTAGAACCATTTATCTAGAATTTAAGATGTTTTTTTGGGTTGATTTATTTATTTATTTTTTGATAAGTAGGATTGCAATAGAAAGCGCTCAAAAGGGGAATGCATCCCTCAAAACTCAAAAGCTACAGAAGACCAAATAGGGCCTCTTGACCCTCGAATAGTCCAAAAATTCAACTATCACCCCATGTATTTATACTTTCTCGTTAGACCCCACAAAAAAGAGTATTAAGAATGGAGAACTCCAGCGCCCCAATGGGTGTCTCCTTTCCTTCAAAGGATCTGCTGTTTTTTCCAAGCCATGGACACCACCAGACAACACAAAGGCGCTACCCTCCATAAGTCATGGACTTGGGCCCCCACTATACATCCTCTCCATGCTTCTACCAAACCTCTCAAAAAAACATGTTATGTCTCAGAAAACCTACTTGCCATTAACGGCTGATTCAGAGGTGGATTCTATAACTGTCTAGAAATGTTGTGTTTTTTCAGTTCACATGGGTTGCTTTTCTGTTTTCCATGTTAAAAGTTGTGTCTATCTCATTTACTGCTTTATGTTTTGTGCCAATTGTTGACTACTCTCCATACCACATATATCCATGGGAGGAAGAGATGGACATTTTTTATTTTTTATTTTTCTATAAGTAAAATTGTAATTGAAGGGCTCTACCCTCCGCTCTGTCCACAAGCACCACCAAACACACAATGGTGCCACTGCCTCCCTCCAAAAGTCGTGGGCTTGGGAACCCAATGAACAACCTCTCCAAGCCTCAATCATACCCCTTGGAGATGGGCGCATAACCCACTGAATCCCCAAACGTAACAAAAAGTAAGCCTTTCAAATTTGGTGAAGCTTCTATGTTACTGTACCTAACACCATATTTTGGCGTTTGTTATTCGCTAGAATATTGAAAATTTGATGCTACTATGTTGTAGGGTTTGAGTTTTTATTGGTCTGGCAGCTAAAAACATACCCTCAGCCAACAAGCATAATTTTGTACATATAACGTAGGTTATTGGATTTTCTCTTCTTATGTTACTAAGTATATCTATAACTCCAATTTCTTTTAGGTGGTTCCTTTCTCCTTTATTACAGAGAAAACAGGATTTTTGTTTCATTCTTTATTACCGAGAAAACAGGACTAAAATATGTAGTTGGCTTTTGATGACATATGGGAGAGAGATTCACTGAATTGAGGTTTAAACCTCAGATATAATGGCATGTTTTTACCCTCTTATTCCAATGTACTTCTTTGAGGTTATCAACATTGACTATTTCACAGATGGTTCCATAATACTCCCTGTACTTTTGTATTTTCTCTAAATGAAGAATTTTTTCCTTATTTCTTTTGTGTCTGTTGCTTATCAAAGGTAGATGTAATTGTTTTGAGCAACTGAGAATTTATGAATTTTTGTCACACATATTGGAGTCCTTGATTGATATATCATCGTATAAGATGCAAGTATGTTAACAGTAAATGCCAGAATTCTGATTTAATTATGCCATGTATATGCAATTTCAGTGTGAATCGAAATTACTTTTGAGTACCTGGTTAGAGCGTTAGAAAATGGGCTCGCTAATGTGGATTCTGAGGGGGCTTGCAGCAAGACAACCACTTCCAAAAGCACAGGAGGCCCCGGCAAGGGGAAAGGTGGGAGAGGAAAGGGTGCTTCTTCCCGATCTGGTGGGCCAACAAGAAACGTGGACGATTCAGGCGGTTGGTCATTTGATCATTGCACTTATCGGAATGTTAGGAGTGCAACCACTTGCCAGGTGTGTCATCAGCATTGACGAAATACTCGGTTTACCTCGCACTGATGGGTCTCACATGGACATAATAATACTTGTTGAAGCAAGAATGAGAAAAGTGGAATTTAAGAAGGCATTCCTGGGCATAAAAGGTTAGTTGAGGCTGTTTGATGCATGGAAGAAAGTGAAGGAAGTGAAAAATATAAGAGAGGAAGAAATGAGGAAAGAGTGGCCACACCTTTTGTCTCGTGTGTTGGGGGGTGCCACTGTGTGGTCTATTGTACATAGTTCATGCCTATTTACTTGTTGGGATTCTTGAATTGGTTGCGTTATTGGCTGATATTTATTTATTTCAAAGATGGCCAGAGGCAGTTGCAAATCAACTCATTTGTTTTTTTTTTTTTTATCCTTTCTTCTGGTTTCTCCTTTTTTAGGGAGTGATGTAACTTTGTTAAATGTATAATAAAGATATTTTCTGTGTATGCAGAAGAAGGTAGTGCAAAATAACATATATTTCTTGTTTAGTGCAGATCATATGTTTAATGGGATCCAGTGAGTTATTTAGAAGAATTTGTGGGGAATTGTTGAAAAAATGAATGGCATTTTTATTTTTTAAATAATGAAATGATTTCTATTATACTCTATAATAGATACAAAGAAAGATAAACGTGGTAGAATATTGATTCGGAGAAAAAATTTCTTTGCCCAAGACTTCTAGTTTCACCTCACGTCACCTCACAAAAAATTCTAGAATGACCTGGGGTATAGGCTCCTATATACGAGCATATAATTTTTTGAGATATTTGAAAAATCAAATTCCCTGTACAGGCTCCTATATATAACCATACAATTTTTTGAGATATTTAAAAAAATCAAATAAGTCATTTAAGAATTAAATAAAGAAATGCCATATTAGCAAGTTAAAACAAATTATATAGGTAATTAGAATTTAAATCCCTAAATTTAACAATTTAAGGATATGTATGGTAATTAACAATTTAGTTTCCTTTTTTGAAATTGTAATCCTAAATTCCTAATTTACAATTTAGTTTCCTTTTTTGAATACCAATTGTAAATATTGAAATCAACCCCTTTCTTTTCTTGCAAGTCTTCCAAAGAAAACCTATTTAAGAGCCGCTATTTCCATTCCAGAGCATTCCGCCTCAATCACTCTGTTCTTGCAAGTCTTTTCCGCCTCAATCACTCTGTTCTTGCAAGTCTTCCAGAGGAAACAGACAACAAACCCCATCCACTTTCCATAACAGACCCATCACTGCCAATCATCACCGGTTTCCTCTGATTGCGCCGTCAATCAGCCGAGATCAACATCTTCATTGGTCCGAGATCAACCGCTACGGTACAGACCCACTTCTCCCCGGGTTGTTCTTTTTTGCCGCCTTGAAGCACTGACCGGTTCAAGTTCGAGGTCGCCGTTTTCATTCAGCCGGCCACTCTTGCTCTGTTATCGTCGGCAGTTCCGAGCTCATCATTATTCTCTGCCGCAGGTGTAATCACTACTATTCTGAACGAGTACAAAGCTCGCCGAAATAGCGACTCTGATAAACGCCATCGTTCGTTGGCGTAATCAACTGCCGGTGTCTTTGCCACTGTCACTTTCTCGCCGGTGGGCTCTTCCTTGCTGTCGCCAGTTCTGTTATTGATTCCACTCTTGCTGCTTCTTCTGTAATTGGAAGTGTTCCACTTCTCCCCGGGTTGTTCTTTTTTGCCGCCTTGACCGGTTCAGTTTCGTGGTCGCCAATTTTCCTCTGATCGCGCCGTCAATCAGCCGAGATCAACATCTTCATTGGTCTCGGCCCCTCTTTTTGGCTTCCATCGTTGATTGAGCCGACTCTCACGACGAACACGATTTCCTACCATAAGTAGACCCCGACTATCAGTCTTCCTCCCTTTACACGTACTTGCTTGGTATCAGAAAAAGAACAGAAAAATCTACATCCTTGCTTGCTTTTAACCCAGTTGACAGAGAGATGTTTATACCGCCGATAGGGTTTCGCTTCGCCCCCAATGAAGATGAAATCCTCCATTACCTGAGAAGTAAAGTGACGGGAGAGAGCTTGCCTGAGGGTATAATATTGGATATTGATCTTTATGTGAATGCCCCATGGAACATATTCAGAAAAGAATTCGAAGATCAATGGCGGCATACGAGTAACAAGGAATTCATTATCTACGTCTTCACTAAGTTGAAGAAAATTGGCAATAAGAAGAGAGTGGTAAGGAGAGCGGGGTGTGGGACTTGGGATGGCAAAACCAAAACTCATGAAATTTATAATGGACAGAAACAACTTATTGGTTTCAAAAGGATGTTGGATTTTGAAGCAAATGTGGAGAACGATGAGTACTCCATCATGCCACGAGGGCACTGGATCATGCACGAGTATTCCTTAGGAGGTGTGAATTTGAATGGGTTAGAAAGTGATGGTGATTATGTTGTTTGCAAGATCAAACGAGATGATTCTAAATTTCTAAGGAGAGCACCAAAGCATGTTCGTGAATTATCCAAAGAAGAAAATCCTAGTCCGAAGAAGAAGAAGAAAGAGCGATATGATCAGGCCTCTACAATTACTGCACATAACACTCTGACTCTAAAGGATCAACATGAGTTGCTTCCAACACCATGTTCTGATTTTCAGCCGTTGCTGCTACCACATCACGATGATATCAGTACAACAATAAACTCATACCAAGACCAACATGAGTTGCTTCTAACGCCGTGTTCCGATTTTCAGCCGTTGCTACTACCACATCATGATGATATCAGTACAACAATGAACTCATACGAAGACCTGCAGCATATTGAGGCATTTTTTGACAACTGTGATTTCGAAACAGATTTCTTTGATTCAGATATGGAGACACGCCTCAACGCTTTTTCTAAAAGTCTTATGTTTGATCACTCATTTCTTTAGAACTGCTTTAAGATGATGATGATCTTGTATATATAGTTGGTAGCTAGTTTTTCCTTTTTGATTCTTTTAATTTCATTGTTCATTGTTGTAACTTCTATGTTGTAATTGATTCTCCATCTAGTTATAAAAGTACGTTGATCCCTCGCAAGATTTTGCCCTAAATGATAAACTCACAATTAATGGTTCATTGAGTGCAGTTAATCTTGTGCAACAGAACAATTGCAATTGCCCTCCAACTGCAGAACTTTGTTGTTACCTTTGCGATGTAGGGCTTATAGTTTTAAGAGTGTGCTTGCATTTCTACACTTGAAGACGATACAGTTTGAGTGAAATATAAATCAACGAGTAAACTCTATTATTGACATGATTTCCTTGCTAAATACATTCATACGGTATTCCCTTGGAAGAGGAAATTTTTGTATGTAAGCTAACCCACAGGTCCTATAATCAAGCATGTATATCATATAAAGTACACCAGATTAAACAGCAAGCTCGTGGAAGAATAGAGGCATCGCCATTCTAGCCTCGCCCAAACCATGATTGATATCTGACCATGACATGATCTTTGTAGATGCTGCGAGCCACTGGAAGTGCGTAGCCAGAGACTTAACATGTAGCACGGTCAGTGAAATTGAGCTCATTTGGAGTTGTCAATGAAGAGTATCTTCTCCGGATGGAGAGGGCCACGCAGACTCTGTGTAACTTGGCCATTCCAACTCATCCAGTCCGTGATGCTTTTTACTTTCACAATGACATCAACATGATCTCTTACTACAACTGCCCCTTCAGGGCGAAGAATCCAACACATTTCAAAAAGAATTCCAGTAATGTCACACCTACATAGACAACAGATGAGTTGAGATAAATAACATTTCAACATGAACTTGTATTTTCTAATTAATGGGCCCTCTGCCCACATAGTGCAGGAATTCAACAATCCAAACCAAGTACTGCTAGAGAGAGTAGAAATTGAGCGATGATCTTTAAGTCTATCAAGTGATATTATAGTATTATAGTCGCATATGAAAAAGAAAATCCTCGACCTTCTCTAAGAGAGCAATATCATTAAAGTTAAGAGCCCATTTAATTGGACAGAGTTATATATAATCTACTGCAAAATCTATGGAAACTTAAAAGCATTCAAGGAATCTACAGACTTTCTTTGCCTCCCCTTCCGCCGTCAAGTAAGCTTAAAAAACAACTTTCACTTTCCGACACAATTTTAAGCTAAATAAATGCATATGAAGAAGAGTAACTATTTTTTTTGGTCAAACTAAGTACTCTCTTTGTAGCATTTGGATGACTCACTGAAATAGCACCCTATCTATTGGGTTTTATCAAATATTTGAATACCAGTTAGTTATTGCATTTAATAGAAGACAGAAAATTTTCCAATACCTTAATTCATTTCTTCTTGAAAATTATACTTTTTATCAATTTGATAGACCAATTTGCGGTTCAAATGCCAAGCAAAACACAAAGAAATGGTAAAATTCCCACAAGACATCTAAACAGCTCCTAGAAAAATGCTAGGAATTCAAAAACTAACTCATTCATGCACATGCTAAATAAACCATCAGCATGTATCAAATCATATGTTCAAGGGTATGCTGAGAAGGGCTCACACCTGCAAGCAAGAGTATCTTGTAAAGTCCGCAGTTTAAAAGGAAAAACACAAGATTTCATAATTAACAAATTTGCTACAGTTTTCTAAATCCATAGAGCACATTAAAGTGGATTAATCTAATGATATCAAAGAGCGATGAAACCAAATATGGAAGCCAAGTGGTGGAAAAGACGAGGAAAATGCACATTGGTGGAGACACCACTCTTTGATGCATAGAGTGAAAAATCAGGAACACACAAAACTAGAAAATAGAGAAGCCAGAGAAATCCAATTCAAATCCTTGGACGACATTTTCGTATGTCCTCCAAAATTTGTAATTGCTTACTTTGTGGAGAATCGGTAGTTCCAGCAGCAAAGAAGTCATTTTCCTTGTTATAGTTCAACTTCTAATATAAAATACTATGCTCTGTGGTGGTAATGAATTTAACATATAACACTCTTTGGTTTCCGGTCCCCTTTTTGAGCATTTTTAATAAATTCATACTAATCAAAAAAAAAAAAAAAATAACATATAACACATAAACAGTGGGTTAAGAAAATCGTTATTTTTTAGGCACACATGGTGAGGCCCTGTACATACTTTTAGCAAATGTCGGATGTATTTAAAGATCTTATTTCAATTAAGTTACTAGCATAGCTATCCAACAATGCTACTCCAGGTTAGACTCAGATACTTTAATAAGCAGCAAAATTCCAACATTTACAAGCAATAACAACAACCATTTCACTAAGTTTCGACAAAAAAAAAGACTAAACAATCATTAAGTATGACTGTTTATAATGCACAAAAGCATATAAGTTAGTCTATAACAAAAGACAATAAACGTACATATCATCATCAGAAAAGAAAAAAAAAAAAAAAAAAAAATACTAATAATAAAGAAAAAAGCTTTAGTCTCACCAGTTCATGCAAGTTCCAAGAAGGCCACGTTCATAGATCACACCAAGGGTATTGTTATTTGCATCAAAAGGAACCACATTCATAACCCAAACTGGGCACTTGGAAAGTGCAGCTGCAAAACCCCCTAAAGCCAGCATTCATGTCCATGATATTTCTATATCTACCAGCAAAGAGAGATTTGGGAATACTTCCATGGTACAGAGCTCTCCTTTTCCATAATTGATTATCTTCATTAAAGGTCTTGACGGTAGTCCCTTCCACCATGCTGCTTCTAATTCTAGGTGGAACAGTCATCAACCTTTGAGGCCATTTTTCAAGAGCACCCCCAGCGGTATCATGGATATCTGTCACCCTTGGAAGAGGAGTAATACATGCCGCTATCTTCTTGCACCTAAAGAAAAAAAGTTAATATTTTCAAAATGATGAATTTTTCTTAACTGCTTCATGCAAAAGTAGAAGCTTGGGTTGACAAGTGTCAAAAATCCAGTTTGAGTGCAAGAGCAGCCACTTTTTGCAAAATAATGCAAATGTTAAGTTTGTTTCTAGTCTACCTAGGTGGGAGCAACATTATGTAATGGCCTTTTAGATAATTTTATTTATAGCTTGCTTTTTACATATCATTTACAACATTGTGAAATTACATAGAAAGTAGCTAGAGACTACATACCGAAAAATAAACTTACCTAGAAATTGTGCAATTACGTCGTCTCAAAATTGACTTATGCTCAGTTGGATGCTGATGGAGATGGAAAAGAGATAATTTTATATTTTAGAAAAACAGTTACATGTTGTAATATTTCAAACGTTCTCTCCTTTCCCACTCCTCAGTCAGCATAGCATTTAAAAAGGAACTAGATCGTAGACAAAAGTATGGTAAATGCATCGCACCGCAAACGTTTTGTGTCGCACATTCTAGCTCTTTTAGGGGGGGAAAAGGAAACAAAGAAATAAGGAAGAGACTAAAAAGGTAAAACTAAACCTTAGGAAATTAACTGACAAAAGATGAATGATAGCTTGGATTCTAAAAGGAGTTCTGCTCATAAAAGACTTTTGGTAATGGAAATTTAGATTTACAGGAAACAGCACATGCAAGAGCTGTGTAGAAGGATGCTTTTGTGTTGGCATTTCTTTTACTCCAATTGGACAAGTCAACTTGCTTGTGTGGTAGGAGAAATGTTGAGCAGAAACACCAGTGCTCACACTTTGTTCTGATGCAAAGGATTTGAAACTTTAATTCACTTTGGGCACTAACAATTACGCCCTCATCCTTGTTACACAGTCTAAATGCAAAAAAGTGAAGAATAAACTTACCAACCAGTATCAGGATCAGTATTAGCATAAAAATGGTGAGATTTCCAAGTCTTTAACTTTTGGCTGCAGTGAATGTGATTAGTAGGCTTTTGCCACACTGCAATTGCTCCCCTTTCTTTAATCTTCTTCCAGCAGAGTCGCCTTGCAAAATCTTCCAAACTATTTTGCTCTTTTTGTAGGTCTTGCACCGTTCTCTCCCAGCCCTTGCAGTTTACCTTCCAATTTATAGGTGGCCCAGACAAAACCCAATAGCCACGAAGGCGCAAAATATGATCAATTTCCATCAGATATAGTCCACCTGGCACACATATTAAGGAAAAAATTATCAGATTATATGAATGTAATGCAGATAAATATGTGCAGAGCAAACAGACACCTCCCAACACAAACCTATTCATTAAATTTTATGTTGTATTGATATGAGTGGTTATTTGTCATGGTATTCAATTTGAATTAGGAGTACGGAACATATTCAACAATACTCCCTAGGAATGCCTTAACAGAAAAAGTACGAGGATCTATAATAATATAATAGATTTCTGACTATAAAAAAGGAAAAGAGATGAAATCATTTTATAGTGGTGGTAATATGTGCCAAAAAGAATTTGAAAATTCAAGTACCGTCACCAATCCATTGTACAAGTCATTGTGAACAGTGAGCCATGTCAAAAGATATCGATGGGTATGGTAACCTGTAGGTGCTAAGTACACCAAGCATTGCAGGAAGTCCTCTTTCCAAGGCAAACTGTACTTGAGCCACGTGAATATCTCTCGGTGCTACAGACATTGTCAAAATGTTACAGTCTATGAGTGAGGCCCCAAAGCTTGCAACCTGAGAAAAATGTAATTAACACCAAAATTTCCATTAAGCATGAGTATAAAAATCAATTATACAATTCGAGTTCATGACTACACATCGCTGACTATACATATCTCTTTGACAGCTGAGGAGGTGAAGGATGATAAACGGAACAACCTATTTTCTTGCCAGGTCTTGGCCAAAATCAGAAATCATCTCATTTGGCCAGCTGATGAAATCATGAAATAAAAAATAAAAAAGTCCATAAAATGCTTAAAATTAAATTTAAAAGTTAATTTATTGTGTGTGTGAGTTCATTCAGTGGCGTTTGTGGTATTGTTAAAACCAAAAGAAGAGAAAAC